CCGCCGTCTAAAGATGCAGCCTTGGCTTATTTGGATGAAGGCAAAGAAAAGCCAGATAGACAGGCTATTGTTGTGGTATTCAAAGGAGCGGCTCAGCCCCCGATAGTCGAGGAATACCTTGTTGGCCCAGTATTTGCACCGAATAAATACGAGCTGCTGAGAGTAGACGGTCGGTCTTATCCTATCAACTTCGACGCAAGAATGGCGTTTTCTCCGCAAGAAGAAATACCATTTTACAATGAGATTGTTATACCACTGGGTACAAAAMTCCACCGTCTTTTTCATGAGAGTTATGACGGGTACACTATTATCAATTGCACGTCTACTAAGTGTTTGATACCCATCCAATCGGCGCCACTCGGKCTAACTAGTAACACGAGAGAAAATTGGTACACTTTGGCGCGTCTTCAAATAGCAGTTTACTCGAATCCTGTAAACTTTGAATTTTACTTGAATCATGCTGGTAGCAACTCGTCAAAATGGCGCATAGAAAAGTTGTTGTACAACGGGCAGCTTTTCAACTCTACTGAAGAACTAATGGATGCCTATGACAAGGGAAAACTCGTCAAGACATTTATTCCTGCCCCTGGAAAGGACAAAATYTTCTCAACTTACGAAAAACGMGGAAAGGAACAGCCTTCCAAAYCCAGTCGAGGTCCTGAACAGTACGAGCCCGATGGAAAACGTTACTCTGTGAAAGGTAGACATATCGAGTACATGAACTGGGCTTTTGACTTCCGAGTTGATTCATCAAGTGGACTTCAAGTCTATGATGTAAGATTTGGAGGGGAGAGGATTGCGTACGAGATCAGTTTACAGGAGGYTGTAGCGACTTATGGCGGATATTATCCCGCACAGATGAGTAATAATTATCTTGACAGAAGCTACACAATGGGAGCTTTTTCGTTTGACCTCGTTCAAGGTAGGAAAATCCGGAACCGCGCGCGTTACACCTACAATAGTAAGGTTATACGACTATCGCTCAACAAGTTCCTATCAACGTCTCCGCCATATCAAAATCGATGCGAAGCTTTCATTTTCAGTTTTATTATTTGTCGATATTGAATTTGATAGTTAATGCATGTCGGATCCAGAAATTTTGAAGGGGGAAATGTATGCTTTATATGTCCTTTATTGCTAGCGTTATTGAAAGAAAAAACAACAACAGAAAACACAAACAAGGGAAACAAAACAAAACAAACAAACAAAAACTAAAAGGAAAAACGCGAATACGAATAAATCAGGAGCTTCCCTAAAGTGGGGGCATCCGCCTATGGATCTTTGGATCCGCCCCTGGTTTTTCATGCGTTTGTTGTGCACTAGGAGGTAACCAATACATGATACGGCATCGCGTTTARATAAGTAACTTTATCTCTCATATCTCTTATTTTTTTAAGTTGTGAGTGGTAAAAACGCGGAATGCGGCAATTTTCCAAATCCAGCCCAGCCGATTATCTGCTGAATATCAAACATAAGTCTGACTCTTTTTTCTACAACGTTTGGGTGAGAATCGAGCGCGACGGGCGAAAGCCTGGTCAGATTTTTCTTTTCTTTTCTTCTTTTTATTTCTTTTATCAACTAGTTAAGTAGTATTKAGCATTCAAGCAGGGACGCGGTCACAAGTTTTAGAATGAATCACTATAAGACTTCAATGGCCAATTACAAAAGAACAATACTCACTGACTGCGTGAACGAAGCCAGTGAAC